CCCTCAGTGATGCCCTGGCCGGTCTCATCCCATACTATGCGACCAACCACCTGAGAGCTAACCCTGATAAAACTCAGATAAGCGCATTCCACCTCAAGAACAGGGATGCCAACCATCAACTAAGGATCAGCTGGTATGGGAAAAGGCTGAAGCACACTCCCAACCCAGTCTACTTAGGCGTCACACTCGATCGCTCCCTTACCTACAAGAACCACATTGCCAACACAAAGGCAAAAGTTGGAGCCCGCAACAGCATCCTCAAGAAGCTAGCCAACACCAACTGGGGGACTGATGCCAGAACAATCCGGACGACAGCCCTCGCGCTTTGCTTCTCTGCTGCGGAGTATGCATCACCAGTATGGAGTAGGTCGGCCCATGCACCCAAGATTGACCCAGCTCTAAATTCAGCTTGTGGAGCGATCACTGGATGCCTAAGGCCAACTAAAGTAGAAGACATCTACCTGCTCTGCGGTATTGCCCCTCCACACGTCAGAAGGTTGGTCTTGTCCCAGAAAGAAAAGGACAAACAAGAAAACAATCCACTCCACCCACTCTTCGAACAACAGCCAGTGGGCAAGCGGCTCAAATCCAGACACAGCTTTCTGCACTCGGTAGAGCCTCTTAATACTAGCCCTCACAACCAAAGGATGACTTTGTGGTCTAACCACCTTCAGACAACTCCACATAAACTCTTCCTCAGCCCGAAGGAATCCCTCGCAACCGGCTCCAGTGAGACTTGGCCTACCTGGCTTAGCCTCAACCGCCTAAGAACTGGCTACGGTCGATGCAGAGTCCTAATGCAGAGGTGGGGTCTAGGAGACGAACAAACGGCATGTGAATGCGGCCAGGAACAGACAATGGAACACCTGCTAGTCTGCCCACTCCTGCCAGAGCCATGCACCCAAGATGACCTGGAAGCCGTTAATTGCCGTGCCAAAGCCTGTGTGGACCACTGGACGGGACTTGTGTAGTGACTCGATAAGAAGAAGAAGACCAGAGGGCGATATTTGATTTCATGACATCATTTATGGACATCTCTCCAGGCCTTCTGACCATAAAATTACACAATTTTTTCAATTTCTTCGAATTCATTTGTGTTCCTGATCCGGCTTCATAAAATGTCAAGTAGAATATCATTCTGCATACTTTATCTTGTATTCAGGGAAGTAGAGTACATCTCAGTCACAAGAAAGAAGTCAACAAAACATGAAATTCGAAATACAAAAGGCATGGAAGTTGTCCATAAATCATGATGTTACCAAATTAAATATTGACCTTTAGTCCCAACTTTTTAAAAAAGCTTTTCACTTCATTATTCCTTGCCTGATTTAGTTCAATTTTTCACTAATTTTGTTGAAATTTTAAAAACTTTACAATGAAATTAGCTTGGTATGAAGGTTTTGTCTCTCTTTTGAAGAAAATCCACCAGCCTTGCCATGTTGCTATGTTGCTCTGCACTGGAACGTTCCCCCAAGCGTGTCAAGAAGTCTGGACAGTGCGAGGGAATAAACTGACAATAATCCCGTTCATATTAGATTTTGGATACAGGCTGAGTAATGAATATGATAGGGGTACCTGGCTTATTCTTTGTTTTCTCTAACAATAACTTTCTTTCTGTGTATCTGTATCTGTCTTTGTCTCTCTCTCTCTCTCTCTCTCTCTCTCTCTCCTTTCCCATGCTTGTTGCCTCTAATAAGCCCCATTCTGTAATGCCATGGCTATCTTCATACAATGCATTTGCGAGCATTTCATTTGACTTTATTAATGACTTCATTGCCACAAAATCAAATTCTCTTTTGCCCTGAATGGTTGGTAAACAATAAGTTCTTCCTTGGAGGCATTTTCATTGTAATCCTGCTGGAGATGAACTTCGTATTGATAAAGGCTAGGGTCAGGGTAAGTCAATAATGGTCAATTTATCCTCAATCAGTCTTATTGCAGAGGCTTACCCACTTGCCTGCACGGACGGCACGATGTAATACTCGATGATATTTGATTTCATCGTAGCGACTTTGGTCCTAAGCTCTGGCTTCTGGTGTTTACCCCTCTGTGGCTATACCTTCATCATCTCACTGACCGAGACTCCTCAGTGGCTGGCTCTTCATTTATCGTCAAGGGCGTATCCAGATGGGGGGGGGGGCGACAGAGAAGTGTACCCCCCTCCCTCCCCCTGCACGCCCCATTATGAAATTACACCTCGCCTCCTCAATCTGATAATCCTGGATCTGTGATTTGATCTCCTCGGTGGGTGTATTGATCCCCTTGAATGCCATAATTAGGTGGGAGGTCTGCCTCTTCTATATTTCTATTCAACCCCATTCTTTAAGGTGGAATTGGGCACTGAGCTCTTCAGAGTGTAGAAAATGTTAGAAAGCCGAGATGGATGTAGCACTGAACTACTCTTACAATTTCACTGTATAGAGTAAAAGAACTTTGGAAAGGGGAACACATCAACACGAAACAACATATACATGTAGATGGTTAGAAAAAATTTCTTTGAGAAATTCCAAGTGGAGCATTTATGAACAAAACTGTCTTTTCCTTTTCTTTCCTTCTCACTAGCTAATCTGTCTGATCAGTTGAGACGTGAAGAGACTGTAAATTAAAGGTATAGATCAGTTCTGGTCATGCGATTGCATTTTGAAAGAAACATTTCGGAATCGATCAGAAAGGTTGATCATCTAGCATCTAAGTATATTGGTGTGTACTGCAAGGATCTGGGGTCATCAAAATGATAAGAAATTTGGACAAGTCTTGGTAAAGTTACAAGTACTGTACACAGAAAGATGTATATGGGACTACGCGATATCTATCCAGTCTGGATAGATATGATAATTTACCAAATATATCAATTAGTAGGCGGTTTTCCGGCAAAATTTGTATCATCACGTATTAATAAAAACATATTCTTTCACATGATTGGTAATAAGATCATTTCACTTTTTGAGGGGGGGGGGGGGGCGTTTCCAAAACTGGTCTATACCTTTAAACAGCCCCCAACTTTCCACCATTTGAAGATCTGCATCTGATCCTATGTCTGACAGTGAGCTCTCATTGAATGTCTCTTATTGCTGACTGTCTCATTACTTCCTTACTGATTAATGATCAGTACCCCAGCCCAGCCACTCTGATGAGACTGACACCAGTCCAATTAGAGACCAAAGAAAATGTCACATTACCCTGAATGGCCAATATTTTGTTGGTTATCAGTCGGTCTGGAGTCGGTCTAACTAGTTGTCTGAGGTATTGGAGCCTTTAGACCTAGCAGCAGTCTGGGCATCAGGAGGTAGATAGAGGGTGGTCATATTCAATCTAATGGGATCCCCATTTGAAACAAAGCAATGACTTGCACTGGAGCAGCTTTCTTTTTGGGGGAACATAGTGGCTATTGCTGGCTATGCTTCATGCCCTGTATTCAATAATGATTGAGATTTAGTGAACAATGACGTAAATTGACTTTAAGTTCTCTGAGGCACCTTCCTGTAACTAGGTACAGATGATCAAAATGTCACGATAGATCCTCAAATAAAACTATTTCACAGTCAATACAATTTTTCAGTTGTTGCTATGTCAGGCCCCTATCATGAAATGTTATTTAGGGAATCAAGTTGCACATAAAGTTCTTAATTTTGAATTATAAGCATGAAATATTAAGATGTTCTGGCCTCTCACAAGGGCAGTTGGGAAACATAATGTCCTCACAAAATTTGCACCCAGATAGACTATTTGTTTTGGTAGATTAATCACCACTTCAAATAAAGGAGTATTCTGAGACAGTTTGCATAAAAGTTTCTGAAGTATTGAAAATGATTCAAGATTGGAGTATCGTTTCTATATGCTTAACATCTTTGGATTCTTTGAAGCACACAATGTTTACTCACTCTCCTTTTCTCCCCGAGGAGAGCATTTCTGACCAGCTTCATTTTACAGGCTCATACAAAGTGGACCAAATCAACTGTTATTACATTTACAGCCTACCCAATAGGGCCCATACTCATTCATACACCCGGGTGGAAGAAAGCAATTAAAATGCCTTGTTTCAGGACAAAAGTGTTCAAATTACATGTAATCCTGCATTATGTTGATTAGGGAAGAAAAATGTAATATTTGTATGCTACTATTGCTGTTCAAGTCTTCTGTCCTTTATCTAGTTTCATAAGAGTTTGACAATAGTATGAACCCAGATTATTTGTGTGGGTTTGATCTTGTTTTGTTCTACTTTCCAAAGGCATACCCTCTCAGAAGTCCTTGTGGGATAGGATTCTAGTGACTCCCACCCAGTATTCATTCATACACATGGGTGGAAGAAAGCCATATAGATTAAAATGGCTTAAGGATAAATACGTGTCAAAGGGTAGCTAGAACCCACACTGTCCATTTTGTATCAATTATTCGCTCAAATTAATCCCACGCTATGTTGATTTGTGAAGAAAATGTAATATTTGTATGCCACCTATGCTGCTCGAGTCTTCTGTCCTTTATCTAGTTTCATAAGAGTTTGCCCATAGTATGAACCCAGATTATTTGTGTGGGTTTGACATACATCCACACTAACAATGTTGTTTTTGTTCTACTTTCCGTAGGCATCGCCTCTCAGATGTCCGTGTGGGATGGGATCGTAGTGACTCCTACCCAGTACCCATTCATACACATGGGTGGAGGAAGCAATATAGATTAAAATGGTGTTAGGACAAAAGTGTTGTCAAAGGATAAGTTAGAATTAGTTAGAACCCACACTGTCCATTAGAGACTTCGGTGGTTAGCGCTTTATAAGTAACGTTTTTATTATTATTATTATTATTTTGTATCAATTATTAACTCAAATTACATGTAATCCTGCGCTTTGTTGATTTGGAGGAATAAATATAATATATGCTGCTCATGTCTTCTGTCCTTTATCTAGTTTCATAAGAGTTTGCCCATAGTATGAACCCAGATTATGTGTGTGGGTTTGACATATATCAACACTAACAATGTTGTTTTTGTTCGTCTTTCTGTAGGCATCGCCTCTCAGATGTCCGTGTGGGATGGGATTGTAGTGACTCCTAGTGAGAAGGCTTACGAGGCTCCGGTAGAGAACAAGGAGGAAGAACAAGACGGAGAAGAGGCTGATGAGGAGGAAGGAGAAGATGCTCCGATGGAAGCCCAGGACCCGTAAGGTGAGTGTCTCGTGAGCTGTCACCCAAAGTAAAATATTTTATTGCAGTTTTAATCTCTTTTAGTGCAACATCTTCATACATAATAAGGATTTTTTTTTTTAATTAAGCAAGGAATAGCAAAAGAAAGTTAAAAAAACGCCACAAAAAAAAACAATACCAAAATGTGAGAAGCCTTAGCCACTTACTAAAAATTAAGTAAAAAAATGTAAAGCAACCTACTACCTAAAATTCATGTTAGGAGTACACAAAGCGACTGACATCAATATATTTTTTTTAATGAATTTAATATTGATTAAGAAAAACTCAAAGAATTTACTACGATAACATAAGAAAAGGAGAGAGCAATTTACTATAAATGATACAAATTTTTACAAAGGAACCAATTTATTAAGTAATAATCATACATATATTTTTTTAATCTACCACAATATAAAAATTCATACTTTGTTAATTTACTTTGTCATTATAAAGTACAAAGAATGATTTCTAAAAAGCACAATGAAGACGGAAACAAAACTTATTGTTTTGTTGATTTTTTTTCTTTTTTTCCAGTATGTGCGTTAGATTTGAAATGTGTTGTTTATATTGTCATAAGTTGGGTCAGGGGGGCTTTCATAATTGATCGGAAGATCTCAGCTAAGACCTTGTGATATCTCTTGAGCTGTATCCCTTCTTCACCTGTCAAGATTGCCTGGATCACTTTTATAAGGACAAAAGAAGAGAATAATCAGATGTGCATACCTAAGTAGGGGAAATCAGGATCAAGGCAGATTTGTACCAGGCCGTTGAATGACACATTTGGTCTCCCTATTTTTATCTCTGTTGATATAAACTCTCACCCCAATCTCAATTGCTTCATCGATAAATGTTCTTCTTTTCTGTTTCCTTCTATTCATTTTGATGTGATTTTTCGAGAATTTCCAGATGATAGTGTCTATTTTTCTTGTGTGGTGGATATACAAGAAGTCAATGTTGTGATTATTGCTATTATCAGTCATGAACTCCAGATTCCTTAACCCTTACTGTACTGGGCTATTTCGAGCACTCTCTGACTGGGGGGGGGGGGGGGGGGGGGGGGGCTGGGAGGCCCCCCCATGATCTTGGCCGTCGAATGTCCGATGAACGCGAACATTTGCATGTTTGTAGATATTTACATAAGGAACAAGATGGTATAATTAGTTTTTTCCTAATATGCAAATTTTTGTCGTTATAGCCTAATTAATTATGCAAAAAAGCTAATTTTATGCATTTTACAGAAAACTCTACATATTTGTCTGTAGACTCGTGAAGAATCTTGAAAATGTATCGAATAAATGTTTCCTTCATGTCAAATTCATGAGGTTTCATTATTTTTATGATATTTGAAAATGCATAGGTTAATTTGCATAAATTATGAATACGCATTCATGAATATCAAATCTGGAAATATAATGAGGGAACTAGAATCATTACATAGATTGTCAGACTCCACTTTTTGAATGTTGAAACTCATTATTCATATGAAACTTCTTTTCTATAAACACAAAATAGTTATTTGATGTAATTAATAATGATAATTTATGCAAATTTAATGCGATTTTCAACTTTTATTTTCTTATGTATTTGATTGTTTTTTATTTCTTATTATATCTATTGTTTTATTTCTAATGTATCCTTTTGTTCTGTAATACAACAAGTTACTTTGAGAAACATATAAAAGCAATTTGATTTCAATTCATATCTTCACAATTCTGCTTGTACATGAATATATGCAATTATAGCACTTTTTTGATGACATGCGCATACTAATTGTTATGTAGCACCTTACAGGTATATCCGATTTCAAAGAAAATGGTATCAAAATGTGCGTAAGACTTGAGGAAAAAAAGTCATGAAACAACAATTCAAAATTCTGAGCGGTTGCGGCGCGATCTCCGAAAATGTCAGGTTTAAAAGATATAGACAGGTAGTGGTAAAATTATGGTTCAATGTTTAGATATTGCCTTCTGAGGTTTAGATGGCAATACTTCATGCAAAAAATAGAGTTTTTTTATTTTACCGAAATGATGATTTAAATCTTTGCCATTTAAAAAAGAAAATGAAATTTTCGATATAGGGGAAAACCCCAAGATGTGATAATTCGGTGCTGTGCCTTGAGACAATATTGAATCGATATCAGATTTCAGTTTGAGCCTATTCAGGATTTCATGGTTTAAATTCATTAAAAATATATTCTTTCGTACACGGTATTCTTCTTAAAGGTATTATGTCCCATTTGCAGGGCAAAAAATGAAAAGGTTAAATTTAAACAGCATTTGAAAGATTAAACTACTTTAGAACTTCCCTAAAAACAAAAAATGTCTTTGTGTCGGAAAATAAAGACTATTGATGAATTGAATTTAGCAAGCGCGCTCGTTTTATCAAAAAGACTGATATTCAGACCCTTGTACCCAATGGTCATACGTTTTGTGCTGTGCATAGACTCGATCAGTTTTAATTTTTGCCATTTCAAGAAGTGGGTTATTGATGTAGGAAAAAAATGCTCATAAACCTTTACGGCTCATGTTATGTATGTTATTACCAAAAGAAAGAAGAAGTCAGTTGGTTACCCAATAGTGTCTGACAGTGTACTCTAGAAAGTAAACAGGTTTCCTTGCATGATTTGAATACTAGGACACTGCTCACATTTAATTTCACAGATAGGACCCCCCCCCCCCCCGCAAAAAAAAAGCCCCCGTAAACCATCTCACTGAGGCTCTTTTAGTAACGACAGGGACTCTTTTTTTTTTTAAATACAAATTTTCATTGAATTGGTACCCATTTATTTAAGTCGGCATTTTCCCTCGTACAACTTTACAAGTTACAGGGGGTTACTGACTATCATCCTGTGATGACATTCTCTCCATTTCTTCCTGTTCTGCACATTCCTCCTCTTCATTCAGAGCAACCTTATTGTATTCCTTTTTTAGTCTTTACCATGCATATCCTTCCACAACATCTTTGGTCTTCCTCTTCTTCTCAATATGCTCTTATACTAACCATTGCGGCTCTAGCTCCAGCAGATATGGCGTGGCAGCGTCCAAACTGGTACTACCAGTGCTGTATAGCTGCTGCTGACGGCCGCACTGCACTGCGAGCTTCCGTTGATTGTATAGGTAAAACTCAGAGAGATGTGGAGATAGCGCCATCTTGGGCCAACAAGCGTACATTAGTTTACAATATGGCGGCCACTGATAGATTCGAGCTAGAAATCCTGCACGCTAATCTTACTTCCGTAGTTCCTTTTCATTGATTTAAGGTTTGAAACTCATTATTGTGTTAAAGTTTTTATAAGAAAAGATAATCTTTATTTTATAATTCCATGGGGGCGATTTTGCAAACGCCCCGGCGCCCCTGTGTATTTTGAGCCTTGGATAGGACATACGTGACAACGGTGACATATTCATAATTCCTGCAAAGTTCTACAGAATTTGATGTTGGCTGCAAAAGGGATACACTACCTTTAAAGCATGCTTAACACATCAACTGCAACTGTACACGGTCAAATTAAATTAAAATCTTGTTAGACTCAGTACAGCAGGTGTTTCGAAGAAAAGAACAGGTGAATTAGACCATAATTGTGTTTGCATTTGTTTTTCAGTGGACGATTTACCTAATTTTTCTTACGACCTAAATCTTGAAAGTTGAAACGGAGAACATAGGATTGATCACATAATCAAAAATAGGGCCTACGTGTTATGTGACGTACTACGTACATGTGGCCTACATTTCTATTTTGTGTGTTGGGTCTTCGCTGGATTGCTCATGCATCGAGTGTCATAATCCGTCCAGATGAAAATAAAACTTAAAATCAATGGATGATGAATAAAAAATGAGTGAAGCTGATTCAAAGAGGTGCTTATAAATGTCACTGTCTTTAATATGTTTAGTGAATGGATTTAACCAGTCCTTCTCCAGGCTATTCTCTGTCTTAAATAGAAATGCTTTTTTTTTTTCCCTGAGCCAAGTTTTAACTCGGCCTCAAAGCATACATGTAGGCAATGTGGAATAAAGACTTTAGAATGTGTTGTATGGCATTATATAAATGCCATTATATGCAATAATGTAATTTGATTTTAAAATTGTTTAAATGAAAATTAACTGTTTTTTCCTAAGTCTAATGAAACATACCTCAATTAAACCCTTCATGGATGTCTGCTGTTCCATCATACATTTTTAACATGATATTAAAATCCTCTCCATATAACTCGATCCAGCTTGCATTAAAAATGTCTTTTCTTTGCTTATGTAACTCTATCTACTTGTTTTCCTTCGGAATTACAATGGCTGCAGGCACAGTCCTTCGTATTGATTTCAAATTCATGACTCTCAGATGCTGCCACATCGTGCCCCCTATAATCAGTACTAGTCATTAGGGAAGCGGGTGTGAGAACTGGACTCTTGCACAGGAGGCAAAACACAGAGATAGAGACTGTAAATTAGCGCCATGGGACTTATAATTTTTCACTCGGCCATATTTAGTCAGATCGGGTATCTGCGTTTTAATCTTCACACCACATTGTTGTCCAGTTGATTAGGTTGTAAGATAAAAGACGGGAAATGAAAGAAAAGTCTCCTACAATGCCAAATTAAAAACTGCAGGAATGGACAATATGTTCTTTCCTTTTTTTTTTTTTTACTCCTCCAAATGATTTTAATTGAATCAAGAAATACTTTGAATTGGTAGTATTGTTTTCTCCCCCCCCCCCCCCAAAAAAAAAAACACAACACACATACACAACAACAAACAAGAAAACTAAAATGTCAGACAATGATTTCTCTTCTCTGTTTCTTGTAGACAGTTCTGAAACCATTTTCTAAACATAATATGATGGTAAGCATTATGAGACAGGCAGATTTTCCTTACAAATCAAGTGTGCAGTAAATCTTTGATGCACAAAACTTTTTGTAGGAGTAATATCCTATTGTAGATGGCTGCCCCAATCTTGCTAAATTATTCATTCCCATTGATAAATGAAAAC